GCACGACACAGATACAGAGCTCTGGACACACAGATGCAAAAAGTGCTGTTTGGACTTGGCATGAATGTCTGCTGGTCAGGGGCCAGGGCCAGCAGGTGTGATCCTGCTCCCCTCTCACCACATCACACAGACAGACCGCGTGAACAGGATTACTCTGCGTCAGGAATCCAGACGCTCGACAGACGATGCTCACCGTCTTTCTTCTGGCCAGGTTAACTGGAACCACTGACTTCAGAAATTATTTGCGCTGCTCTGATGAGCCATGACAGGTTTAGCCCCAGACAGGGAGTAACTCTTTGCCAGCTCAGCATGCTCACCAGTCTCGGGAAGATGCCAGCACCTGCTTCGGATGGTGCGCATGCTTTCTGACCCATGGCTGTTTTAATTGCAAGGAAGACCATCACCCTGCAGAAACACAAAGCGCATCTGACGTGGTTCGGAAAAGCTGTGAGTCGGGCCCAGAGGGGCAGTTCTAACCAAGTGGGGCATTAGATGCCTCCTGCGCTAGAGGAACGCTGTGTGATCACAAGCCCAGCTGTAGTCCGAGACCCAAAACTCATCTGGTGGCATTTGAAAACTCCTGAAGTGCTCTTACCATAATTCTCTCCAGACCCTCTCCAGCAACTCCCTTCAGGAAGATGAAGGCTTGAGGATCTGGTCCAGCCAAAATCAAGGTAACTCCTAATCAATGTTCCCTCTAAGCTGTGGAGTCTTGTGAGCAGAAATTCTACTTTGTGAGCTCCTGGCATTAAAGTTGTGAGTGAGCGATTTGGCTACTGCATAAATTAGTTTGCTCTGGAGCCCTCCTTCCTGAGCCAAGACAAAAATGTGTGAGCTGGAGGCTAAAAAACTGTGAGCTAGCTCACATTAACTCATCTTAGAGGGAACACTGCTCCTAATCTGGGGAGCATTGCTGGGAGGGGAATGCTGTTTTTAGGAAAGCTCCCCCTCCCCCCCAGACACACATGCACCCTAGGTCTCAAACTTTGGTCCTTGAAATGATGTTAAGGTTCATGGTTCTGTTCTGTTTTTGTGGTGGGTTTTTTTTTAATCCTGAAATTTCTTGGTATACTTTTGATTTTCTGTATCGTTCTAAACTAGGAAAACATCAACAACTAACTCAAGAGCTTGTTATTTGTTTCTTCACCCCTACTCTACCTTAACTTATATAAGCGTGTTCATGATGTATGTATGTGCTTCCAAGTTGCGACTGACCTATGGCGGCCAATGTTCCCTCTAAGCTGTGGAGCCCCGTGAGCAAAAAGTCTACTTTGTGAGCTATTGGCATTAAAGTTGTGAGCAAGCAATTTGACTACTGCATAGATTAGTGTCCTCTGGAGCCATCTTTCCTAAGCTGAGACAAAAATGTGTGAGCCAGAGGCTAAAAAACTGTGTGCAATTCTGGTCACCACACCTTAAAAAGGATATTATCGCTTTGGAAAAAGTGCAGAAAAGGGCAACTCGAATGATAAAAGGGTTGGAACACTTTCCCTATGAGGAAAGGTTAAGGCGCTTAGGGCTCTTTAGCTTGGAGAAATGACGACTGAGGGGTGACATGATTGAGGTTTATAAGATTATGCATGGGAAAGAGCAGGTAGAGAAAGAGGTACTTTTCTCCCTTTCTCACAATACAAGAACTCGTGGGCACTCCATGAAATTGCTGAGCCGTCGGGTTAGAACGGATAAAAGGAAGTACTTCTTCACCCAAAGAGTGATTAACACATGGAATTCACTGCCACAGGAAGTGGTGGCGGCTACAAGCATGGACGGCTTCAAAAGGGAATTAGATAAGCATATGGAACAGAGGTCCATCAGTGGCTATTAGCCACAAGGTATAGATAGGGGCTCTGGGACTCAGCTTAGAGGGAACACTGATGGCGGCCCCAGCAAGCGGCTTTCCAGGCAAGTGAGAAGCAGAGGTGGTTTGCTATTGCCTTCCTCTGCACAGCAGCCCTGGTCTTCCTTGGTGGCCCCCCATCCAAGTGCTGACCCTACTTAGCTTCTGAGATCTGATGGGATCTGGCTATGCCATACCATTCCACATCTGTACATGTTCACTGGTGAACCTTTAGGCACAAGTGCGTCAAAAATCCTCTCATGTAACATATTGTTCATGCTCTCACGCATTGGCAAGAATTGCCTCGCGTGAGAAACTTGAGGGAACCCCAGTAGAATCAACATTTTGTGCGGTGTTTTATCAACGCACATGGACACATCAGTAGCCTGTGGGGAAAGATGATATGAACTAATGGCCCTGGAAGCAGATTGTGCACCCCCAGTAAAATAAAGGTAAAGGTTCCCTTGCTCGAAAGCCAGTCGAATCCGACTCTAGGGTTGCTGTGCTCATCTCCGTTTCAAAGCCAAAGAGCCAGCGCTGTCTGAAGATGTTTCCGTGGTCATGTGGCCGGCATGACTAAACACCAAGGCGCACGGAACACTGTTACCTTCCCACTAAAGTGGTACCTATTTATCTACCTGCAATTTCTTGCTTTCGAACTGCTAGGTTGGCAGGAGCTGAAGCTAGAGACGGGAGCTCACTCCATCATGCGGCAGACCCGGGTCTCGAACTGCTGAACTACTGACCTTCCACAGCCTGCAGTTCAGCGTCTTAACCACTTGAGCCACCGCAGCTCCTTGCACCCCCAGTACTCTGTACAAAACATGGAAATAAGGAAATGGGTGATTCCTAATGCATTGATTCTGTGTTGAAAGGAGACCAAATTCACGGGGAACTCTAAAATGCAGGGAGGGGTTGGAGAAAGATGCCCATCTACTATTGGGGAACAGGAGACAAAATCACAGGGGTCTTTCATCCTTTCTTTCCTCTCTCCCATTTTCAAATGCTGCTGCCTATCACAGTCTATTCACTGCCACTGGACATAGTGACGGCCATAAGCCTAGATGTCTTTTAGACAGGGATTAGGGGGATAGGTCCGTCAATGGCTATTAGCTATTAGCCATTGTGACTAAAAAGAACCTTCACATCCAGAGGTAGTCAAACTCTGAACTCCAATTCTAAAGGCGAAGACTCTGGTCTCTAAGTTATCACCCTGGGAGAACTGGTTGGCCACAGTGTGAAACAGGATGCTGGAGTTGGATGGACCACTGGCTGATCCCGCAGGGCATCTCTTGTGTAAAGTGGACAAGCTAGTCAGACCATAGTCTGTCCTTGATCTAAGGCAGCTTCACATACATTTAAAAAAAAGATGAACGGCTTTAAATGCCGTGTACCCCATTGACCTAAATCTGCAAGGCGATTTTTCTTTACAATACTACAAGGCTAACTTTACTTAATTTTTTAAATCTACCCAAATACCTCCAGACCGCAGCTGAAATTGGCCAAATGCTGGAGTGTGCTTCAGAGCATTCCTTCATGTTCTCAGCATGTGATTTTTAATTGACTCGAGCAGTTTCTGATTGGACCACTGAAACAAAAATAAGTTGCACGCAGTTCTGCCCCAGTCATTCAGATTAACGTTGTTTTTGACTTCTCGTTGCACGAAGGAAATCTCGGGGTGTTTTTAAAAAAAAAAAAAAGATTTGTTTTCCCACTTCCATAACTCCACTTCTTTCAAGTGGTCATTAGAGGAGATTGGCTTTTAAAAAATATTGATTTTGAGTGTTGGCTCAGGGGTGGATAAATGAGACGGACTCACCCATTCATTCACTTCTGACACCGTGTGTGATATTTCACCATCAGTAAAAGGTAAAGGTTCCCTTGCTCGAAAGCAAGTCGAATCTGACTCTAGGGTTGCAGTGCTCACCTCCATTTCAAAGCTGAAGAGCCAGCGCTGTCCGAAGACGTTTCCGTGGTCATGTGGCCGGCATGACTAAACACCAAGGCGCACGGAAACCTGTGCACTTCCCACCGAAGTGGTACCTATTTATCTACTTGCAATTTCTTGCTTTCGAACTGCTAGGTTGGCAGGAGCTGGAACTAGAGACGGGAGCTCACTCCGTCATGCGGCACACTCGGGTCTCGAACTGCTGAACTACTGACCTTCCACAGCCTGCAGTTCAGTGTCTTAACCACCTGAGGCACCGCAGCACCATCAGAGACAGTCCTAATTTGGAGAATGACATCAGATCCCCCAGACTCATAGGCTTAGAATCTCTCATCTTAGTCAGTGGTGTGTGTAAAGCAAGGCCCCATCAATGCAATCATACTTCCTCATACTGAATCAGGCCATTGGCCCATCGAGGTCCGTATTGTCTACTCTGACCCAGTAGTAGCTCTCTAGTATCTCAGGGGGAGGTCTTTCACATCACCTGCTCCCTGATCCTTTAACTAGAGATGCCGGGGATAGAACCTGGGACCTTCTGCATGCCAACAGCTCTGGGTTGGGAAATACCTGGAGATTTGGGGGTGGAGCCTGGGGAGGCTGGGGCTCGGTGAGGGGAGAGATCTCATCAGGGTACAACGCCATAGAATCCACCCTCCAAAGCAGCCATTTTCTCCAGGGGAACTGAGCTCTATCATCTGGAGATCAATTGTACTACTGGGAGGTCTCCAGGCCCAACCTGGAAGTTGGCATCCCTATCACTGCAGAGCCCCCCTGCCCCCCCCCGGTCCAAAACAGTCCAGTGGCACCTTTAAGACCAAGTTTTATTCAGGTACAAGCTCTCCCTCCTCTGTGAAGACAGATCTGCACATGTGCCCCCCCCCCCATAGCTAGCAATCCAAAACAGTCCAGTGGAGCCTGAGCGGTGGGTGTTGCCTTTTGGCACACTTCCGGTGATGTCAGGGGGTGTGGCATATGCAAATAAGTTATGCTAATGAGTTATGCTAATGAGCTTCTACACCTCTTTTTCTACGGCATGACCCCTGATGCACAGTAGAATTTTTGCTCACAAGACTCCACAGCTCAGAGGGAGCATTGATTGGGAGTGAGATCACCATGATACCAGGATTCTTTGGAGGTCGTGGTGGCCGTGAAACACTGTGGTTTAAACCAGCCAAGAGCCTCATGCTCCTGTTCTGGCCTTCCAGAGCTCTCCACATGGCTGCGCTGGTGCAGATGGTGTCTTTCTCCATGGCTTTCGTCTCCACCCTCTTCCTGGTGGCAGCCACTTGGACTGATTGCTGGATGGTGAATGTCGACGACAGCTTAGAGGTGAGCAAAATGGGTAGCGGCAGGCCCAGATTCAAGGGGGCCGTCAACACCCTACGGACACTTCCTTCAGGATTGGAAGGGGGAACAGAGCAAAACGTGACTCTTCTGCACCCCTTTCGGCCCCACTGGAGCAATTGCTAGTAGGTTCTGCTTCAGGGGTCCCCAACGTGGTGCCTCTGGCCTGGGCAGCATGGCACCCACCAGGTGTTTTAAGAAAGTGGGCAGAGCCAGGCGGGGCCTTTGCCCAACAAGGCTTCTTACTGGCCACTGGAGATTTTCACCTTGATGGAGTGACACACATTCAGACCTACAAAATCGCTGTTACCAGAATAAGTTGTGGAGGTGATTTGGCGATACCTATGGCCCATCACTAATACCAGAAGTCCAATTATAAGTATACAAGGAAACAACATCTGGTTAAATTATATGTGTACTAAAACTCTGTAACAGGTCTTTGAATGTGTGTCTAGAATATATAGATAATAGTGACCACCGAGGAAGGCCCTTAGGGGCCGAAACACGTTTGGTCTTCAGTTGTAAAGTATTTACCCATCATATGTATGTATAGAGGATAAGCTTTTATAGTCTGATCTCAGACAAAGCAATTTTTAATCAGGAAAGTCTTAACATGTGTACACCTTAATAAATAGCCCTTTTTGGTTCGTAGATTTAACTGGCTGTGCAGATTATTGAAAACGTTGGTTGGACAGCAGCAGCCACCACAGCACAAGGATCTTTACTGTGCGACTGAAGGGAAAGCTGCAGCAGCCGTTTTGTGGCTGGCTCCACCTCCTGCGGCAGCCATTTCGTGGCTGGCTCCACCTCCTGCGGCAGCCATTTCGTGGCTGGCTCCACCTCCTGCGGCAGCCATTTCGTGGCTGGCTCCACCTCCTGCGGCAGCCATTTCGTGGCTGGCTCCACCTCCTGCGGCAGCCATTTCGTGGCTGGCTCCACCTCCTGCGGCAGCCATTTCGTGGCTGGCTCCACCTCCTGCGGCAGCCATTTCGTGGCTGGCTCCACCTCCTGCAGCAGCCATTTTGTGGCGGCGCTTACCACGCCACGTCAGAGTTCCAAAGTTGCCCACAGGCTCAAAAAGGTTGGGGACCCCTGCACTGCTTCTTCCCCTTTGGCATTCCCTCTGTTTATAAAGGATTTATTGCGGTTTTAATGGTTTGATTGTAAAATGCTTTGAAGGCTTTTTGAATGGAAAAGTAGGATAGAAATCTGTTAAATTTAAAAAAAACCAATCAACAAATTCTTCTATGAAAACCAATGTTCTTTGGCTTTCGGCATTCGCGTACAGCACGACGGTCTCCAGTTTACATCAGAGGGGCCCTCCTGGATTAGGGCAGCCCTCTGAGGGAGGCAGAAAATCCCAGAGTTCCTTGTGCTTATTGCAAAGGACTTTGGGAGATGTTGTCATTTAATTCATGAATTACCTCCAGTTTGGCCAGGTTCTGCATAAGCAAGAGGCAAGATGGTGGAGCTGACTCTTGGGGGGGGGGGAATGGATGATCCTGAGTTGAGTCTAGGTTCCCCCATGGGGCCAGCCCTGGCAACGTCTCAAACTATCCTTGTAGATCCCTTCTACCCCTTCTGTGTTCCCATGCAGGTCAGCCACAAGTGTCGGGGGCTTTGGAGGGAGTGCGTCAGCAACTTGAAGGACGGCATCAAGACCTGTGACCCCTATGATTCCATTTTAGCAGAACATCCCTGTAAGTCTCCAGCTATTGATAAGAATTGTCTTCTACGGCCATTGTGGACTCGGTGTGTGTGTGTGTTAAACTTAATGCAATTGCATCTCCCCTTTTAAAACGTATCTTTGAAAGCCCTGGAAACTGCAGAGGGGATTCTGAGCATGCCTAGACTGCTCATATCTTGAGCAAACAAAACGGGAGATGACTGTTACGTGAATCTGGAATGTAGTTATGAGGATAGGGTTACAGACACCACTGGAACTGAGGGCCTATTTTTATTATTAGGTAGGTTTGGGCCCAAGGGCAGTTGTCCCTTGGCCTTGGCCACCCTACTCATTGAGAACCAAGCCTGATATAATCTACATAGCTCCCCCCATTCATTTGCATATCGTAGGATTGTCTGCGTCAGGGGTCATTTCCTGCGGGAGCGCACAGAAGCGGAGCTCCGGCAGTAAGGAGCCCAGGGGGTGGGCACATGCAACAAGCCCCCCCTCCCAACAGCCCTCAGTCAGGCCACGAGGAGCAAGAAGCAGCCAGGTAAGTTGCAGAGCCCCCCCCCGCCTTCAGGTACAAGCTCTCCCTCCTCTGTGAGGACAGATCTGCGCGTTCCCCCCCCCCAGCCAGCAATCCAAAACAATCCAGTGGCACACCTTTAAGACCAAGTTTTATTCAGGTACAAGCTCTCCCTCCTCTGTGAGAGCAGATCTGCACGTTCCCCCCCGCCCCCAATAGCTAGCAATCCAAAACAATCCAGTGGAGCCTGAGCGGTGGGTGTTGCCTTCTGACACACTTCCGGTGATGTCAGGGGGTGTGGCACATGCAAATAAGTTATGCAAATAAGTTATGCTAATGCGCTCCTGCACCTCTTTTTCTACGAAATGACCCCTGGTCTGCATGCATTGGTTTCCAATGTTCCATCAAGCGACCAACTTTTGGGAATGGGCATATAGAGATGACGGATGGATGGACAGACACATGGAGAGATAGATGAAATGGACTCGTGGACAGAGACGGATGACTCGGACCGATAGAAGATGAGACATACAGTGGAATTAGGGTTGTCAGCTCTGGGTTCGAAAATACCTGGGGATTTGAGGGTCGAGCCTGGGAGGGCGGGATTTAGGGAGGGGAGGGACCTCAGTAGGGTATATTGCAGTCCACGCAGTCCACCTTCCAAAGTAGCCCTTTTCTCCAGGAGAAGTGGAATAAATGGTTTGAGTAAATAATAAGCTATCTATGTCGTCTGGAGATCGGCGGTAATTCTGGGGGGTTTCCAGCCCCCACTGGAGGCTGGCGACCCCTGGAGGAATGGACAAATAGGTAGGTAAGTGGAGGATGAATTGATGGACCAATGTGGATGGGTGGAGAGTGGGATTTCCAGGTCCAAGCAGAGGTCATTTCGGGGGGGAACGCGGGGGATCGCAGTTCCCCCGGGTGAGGTACGGGGGCGGGGCACATGACGAAGCCCCGCCC